AATTCATGTGAATATGACTGAAAAATTTCATTTTTTCTGAAAAGGTGGTGTCTATTTACTTGTGACCACGCTGTGTATATGTATATTCAACTACATTTACCGGTTGGTGCATTTGTTGCACGTATCCTAGTCTAATAGTGGCTCAATGCGAAGATTACAATCACGTGTAGGTCTATGTGTTCCATGAATTATTTAAACCGGTGATTAGGTTCAATGCTGAGATATGAAGAATGAGCTACCGTATCAGAAAGTGCACTTTTATTTCAGGTCTTTAAGATAAATAACCTAAGTGATGATGAACACCTTTTCCAGTCATTGGCATGCAAACCTAAACTTACTTCTATGTTGTCATTAGCATGCAAACCTAGACTTACTTCCATGTTGTCATTAACATGCAAACCTAGATTTACTTCTATGTTGTCATTAGCATGCAAACCTAGACTTACTTCTATGTTGTCATTAGCATGCAAACCTAGACTTACTTCTATGTTGTCATTAGTATGCAAACCTAGACTTACTTCTATGTTGTCATTAGCATGCAAACCTATATTTTTCTTCTATGGTGTCCTCTTACCTGGAAACTAGTGATTTTCTAATCATTCTACAAGTAAAAAGCTGGAAGTAAATGATAACAGTTGTGATAAATATTAGAAAAATTAAAAGCAGGAAAGACTAAGCAAACTATTACAATGAAGTTATTAACTTTTTATTTTTATGTCATTTATTTCTATTAACTCATTATTTCAACAACATATTTTTGATCTTTTATTCCTTTAGAAATTACGTACTCGTTCAGCGCAAGGAAAAAACATATGGACATCCAAAAGCTATACAGATGGTCAGATTCGAATGCCGATCCCTTCTGTGCCATTCCCTGGGTGAGCCTAGAAACATATGCTGTGCCTGTCAGGAATCGAACACAGAAGCTTAGTGTTATAAGGTTAACGCTATGCCGGCGAGGGGGTGAGTATATTTAGGAGACGCTCTGAAGTTTAACACATACGTATCTACAAGAAGAAACTGAGACAGAATCGGATTTAATTTCATGGTTCTGATAACACTTGTATAATTAATTGCTTGATGATTCTCGAGTCCTATCGGTACATACAGAACTATAGTATTTGTCTTTGTTACTTAGCAGCTGTTCTATCCATATCTGTTCTGTCCTAGAGTTTCCGAAAGTATTATTATGACTTTGATCTTACTTAACTTCAAACATCATTAGATATATTTAGCGCTAATGAACAATAATTAAGATGAAATTCTCGTCTAAGAACACTGTCCTGAAAGATGAGCCAAACACATTTCAATTAGAAACGTTGTGAAACACAAATGTAATACTCCTATAGAAACTAGCAGTGTAAGACAGCTAAACACAATAGGAATAATATATAATATCATATCGGATATTTAAATTAAATGTTGTAATTTAGTTCACACAGAATTAGGAAAATGATGTTAACCCTACCTTTTCGTGACTAACCCATTGACTGTTGATTTGCCGTAAAGGGTAGGGTTCGCCTCCGGCAGTTGAATTCGGGTGTGCTGAATACGGTGTACGGCCTGCAAAAATTCCGCGTGCATTTGAAGCAGCCTCTATCAAAGGGGTAATAATAACCACTGTATCTACTTCCATGTGCCCTCCACTGTAGCCATCACCATGACTACTGTAACTACCTTCATAACCTCCTCTGTAACTACTACCATGACTACTGTAACTACCATCACGACATCCATAACTGTTGTGACAAGCTATTACCTCTTAAGAAATGCCGAATAAATATACATCGTACTACAAGTTCGTCGTCTATAAATTCTGTATAATTGTCATCCAGTCAATCAGAAGTAGTACACTCTGCATTACAAACAGAATAAGGATGTGTTGATTTTAGTAACAATCAATAAATGAGATTGTTGTTGTCCAGTCAACATGTTGGACAACGCCTAAATTCACCACTAAAAAGACTGTTACAATCTCTAGCTGCTCATCAGGACCATGCGGTGACTTTATTTGGTAATGATCAATGTTTTTGGTGGGTACACACTCGCTATTAATAACAATTATGTTGTTATTTGTTATCAGTTAAAAAGAAAACATTCCATGATCTAAAATTTTCCACTCATTCGTTTTCATTTATGTAAAACGCGTAATGAAAAACTGGGTACACTTTGTGTTCTTCTTTAAGAATATGTAAAAAAAAAGTTCGCGATTGATTTCTTGTTATCTTCGATTTGTTCTATGCTCATTTCGAAAAGTAATCCATTTCAAATGTTTATTAGTATTTATAGACAGCTGGAAAGTACCTGTGTAGACAGAGCAAGAGTTATATTGATGATTAAACTGTATTTTAGAACTGGAGATATTTTCAATGAAGACATTTATGATCTACTTCTGAAATATCCACGCATCTATATATGTATTTAAATGTAATATAACTAACGATACTGGATTTATTGTATAAAGTAATATCCTACATGTTTGAAATGTCTGAGCTAAATCCATTTCTATAGCCCTGAGTAAAGTTGTTTTTTCGTTCAATATATTTAGTCTCATTTTCATTTGTTAAATTTTGAGAACCTTCTGTTATAGTATTGACATATTTTTCTTCTTTTTTTTTTACTGTTTTATTGTTTGTTTGTTCGTTTTATTTGTTCCATTTTAATTATCTTATTTCATTCTAGGAAGAAAGTCCGTGGTTTGTATTTCTAGAAAGTACAGAGAAAAAAAAGAAGTTAAATTACTTAACTGTCACTAGATGGCAATGACGTTGATATTGCGGAATATGATTGAGCAAGGCTGAAAACTGTCGTGGTGTATCTCATTTAATTTCAAACAAAACAAAATACAAAACGTCATTTTCGCGAGCTACTAGTTTATCACGCCCAATTTCAAAGCAGTAACAGCTTGACTAAATTTTTAATAATCACGGCAACACACGTTCTTACAGAATGACGTTGAAATACGTGTTTACTCTGATTTGTTTAAAGTATTAGACAACACACCCAACAATCACAAACGGATTTGAAAATTTCACCAAACACGTTACTACTTTGCAAAAATGAGAGCGCCGTCTAACAACTGATAAATATGATAGCTTATAAGTTATATAAATGAAACATTTAGTTGGCTGAATAAATCATTATTCTGCCTTAAACTGCATTTAAGGATATATTTGTTGCATATACCCTTCAAGGAACAGACATACAATTTGTCAGTAGGTACATTAACGTACAAAATATGACAAAAGTGGCATTTCTAATAAGATATGTTAATAAGCACAAAATACTAACATAAAGTCGGCAAACAAGGAAAGTATATTTTTTCTCTTACACATGAACCATATCACATTCATTTCTAGATGAGTCCTAAAGGAAACTTTAAACAATACTCAAGGACAATGTAACAGGGTAATTAGAAGTAAGAGTAGTTAATGTAATTACAGCTTATGTGCAGATTATTTCATTACGCTGTTACAAAGTAATAATCTCCTTCATTCACTGGTTTTCCCTGTCAATACATTTAGAGAGGTTCCAGTTTTGCAACAGCTGGTTGTTCTTACCAGTTGTGTTTGTATTTATTGTTCTTGAGGTCAAATCGTTTGTAAGTAATAAAGATATTCTCGGTCACATTTACCATGTAATTACAGCTGCCGTTTTAATTATGGCATATTTTTCTATACTTCATCTTTTGGGTTTACTTTCTGTTGTTGTTTTTTTTACGAATTACTAGAGAATCAAAGATGCCTCGTATCTAGTTGTATTAGTTTTATCTCTAATTCACTCAGCAATACACAAATACTCAACCTTTTTCTGAACTAACAAATTTTGATAACGAATTAACAGTTTTTACTCAAAATGTATTATTAAGTGCTTCAAAAAGAAATTTGAACTCATTATAATGTTTATAAATGAGTCGACAGAGTGATAGATGTTTTAACTCAAATATTTCCGGAATCTCCTGGTATATATTTTTTCCAATTCATTCTTGAATAATAACGATTCTTGTTTCTAGTGCGTCCTGAATGGCTATAATTTTGTCTGAAACTTTACAAAGATAAGTTTTATAGATTACTTGAGATAACACTAGATTTAGTTTTAACACTTCTAAAACTGTGTTGCCGTGATTATTAAAAATTTAGTCATGTTGATATCGCTTCTGAAATGAGTGTGATGAACTAGTTTTTCACGATGACATAATTTTATGTTGTTGTTGTTTTTCTGTTTTGAAATAATCCAAATTAAATGAGATATATCAATACAGCTTTCAACTTTACTCAATCCGGTTGTGCAATATCAACGCTACCTTCACCTAGTGGAATTTAAATAATTTAGATTCGTTTTCTCTGTATTATGCATTAGAAAACACACAAGTAAACTGTGTTAATATAAACATTACATTTTTTAGGCCCCAGATGAATCCATCTTTTTACTGAAGCGGTGTTTGTCATTACTTTTTTATCGTTTTAGTATTAAAAAAAAGAATTATAAATACTTTTACGTCACTAGATGGTGTGAGTGTTGATATTGCAGAAACGTATTGAGTAAATGACAGTAACAAGCCTGTCCATTGCACTGTTTTTCTTTCCCCGAGTAAAAGAACCAATCTTCTCTTTAAAAGATTGAGTTTTAGTTTTGCCCTAAATAGGTAGCTTGCTCTGAACGGAAGTTAATATCGATAATACTTGTTACCAGTTAAGATATCTAAAATATGTTAATCATACTGATTATTATTTGTACAAATAATAAAGTCAAGTTTCTGTCTTATAATTCAAGTATAAATTTAAGAATTTCTATCAACACACACACAAAACAATTTAGGAAATATAAATTGGATTAACTGACATTTTAGAAGGCAAATAAACATGAATTAAGCTGATGGTGATAATGGACAAGTAAAATAACATTTACAATTGATTAAGTTTGCCTTTTTGAAGGTTATTTATAATTTTGAATACCATGAATATTGCGTTTAAAAGAGTACTAAATCACAATTCAACTTTCCTCGGTATCATATATATTTATCTATATGCATGTATATTGTGCGTATTTGGCTATGGCTCATACACTTATAATGCAAAAGTATTCGCGTGATGATCCACATTCATAACTTATTTCCCGATCCACGCATGATATGAACAGAGTTCTGACTATTTGTAAAAATGTAATTTTATTGAAAAAATGCCAGTAAAATAAAACAATGAGGATTACAAACAAACCTCATATAACAACACAGTGTTCTATATATGTTTGGAAACTACGTACTCCAATAGCGTTCTCAACAACTAGTTAATAGGATCCATTATTGAAAGAAGCTGAGTGGACAGTCGCTCCACACGCTAGGTGTCTTCAATAGTAATGATGTTTTGTTTTTGCTAGAATAAACAAAGAAGTATATGTTTTAATATGTTACTGTGAAATCATCAGTGGAAACTTCTTCTTTACCTGCTAATTAAATCTACTTTCCTAACTTAAAAGCAATATATTTTAGGTAAAAAAAAAAGTCTGTTATCGTATTTACAGCAACTAAAATATTTCAGTTATGATAAACAAAAATATTGTTTCTAAAGTACTTTATGATTGAAGTAACCGTTTAACAAGCAGAATATTTTGTTTCTTCATTAAGTCAGCTTTATCTAATTACAGTAAACATATTTCTTCTAAGTTAGGGACAAAATTAATTATTACATCTGTCATTAGTGGTAACCACCATAACCTCCATGCCCGTAGCCGCCGTAACCACCATAACCTCCATGCCCGTGGCCGCCGTAACCACCGCCATAACCTCCATGACCACCACCACGGCCACCATAGCCTCCATAACCGCCGTAGCCTCTGCCGTGTCCACCATAACCACCGTAACCTCCATAGGCTACTGCAAGAAGAGTAGCAAAAACAACGAAAAGAATCATCTGGAAAAATAACAACAACATAAAAATTACAGATGTAACCGAATCTACACCTTTGTTAATAATTATATTACAGACATACATCATCTGGAAAAATAACAACAACATAAAAATTACAGATATAACCGAATCTACACCTTTGTTAATAATTATATTACAGACATACATCATCTGGAAAAATAACAACAACATAAAAATTACAGATGTAACCGAATCTACACCTTTGTTAATAATTATATTACAGACATACATCATCTGGAAAAATAACAACAACATAAAAATTACAGATGTAACCGAATCTACACCTTTGTTAATAATTATATTACAGACATACATAATAATACCATCATATTTACAAACAAACTTTCAAGTATGGATTAAAGTAATATTCGGATCAACGATATTTGTGTCTAAAATGTCACATTGTGCTAAACTTATATTCCCACATTATTTTCTAGTTAAAATAGAGAACTCTATCGTAAGTTTACACCGTCTATGCACTAGAAAAATAACTCTAACGTTAATAACATGTTTCCTTAAACTAGCTATCTTTTTATCAACAGCCTAGAAACAAGGTTCAGCCAAGTCATTAAAAAAAATACTTAACTTTTACAATACTTTCTAACATATAACTTTTGTATTAAATCATGCTTAGATAGAACAATATAATCTTACCAAAGTCTTCATAGCGGACAGTTTCGTCTATTTTTTCCTATGAAACTCAGTGTTTGGTCTGCTTTAGTGATCAGAAGGGAAGCCTTTTATATCTAACTGTCTGAAGTGAGAAATAATAATGTGCTCATTGAAGAGGTAATATACTGTTACAAAGTAATACCTATAACACTAGTACCTGGCAGTAAGTGATGGGACGTGGTTCCCTGGACTACCATCTTTAGTGCTTTCCACCTATAGAGAACATAGGTTACGTAAAAGAGCTTGTAAAAATTGTCAACCGCAAACATGAAACTGAATGACACAAACAACTTTAATCTAGGACGTCAGTAAAGCGTTAATGGGTTACATGCTTTTTAGTGACTGAGAAACACATGTTTTTACATTTTTTATGTTAGCCTAGATTATTAGGAACATTTATACTTACATTTTCGATTACTTGGTATGTTTTTACATACCACCTGCTACACTACATGTAATTGTCATTTGTATTAAATGCCTTTCCTACACTACATGTAATTGTCATTTGTATTAAATGCCTTTCCTACACTACATGTAATTGTCATTTGTATTAAATGCCTTTCCTACACTACATGTAATTGTCATTTGTATTAAATGCCTTTCCTACACTACATGTAATTGTTATTTGTATTAAATGTCTTTCATACACTACAGTAATTGTTATTTGTATTAGATGCCTTTCCTACACTACATGTAATTCTTATTATAATTTGTATTAGATGCCTTTCCTACACTACATGTAATTGTTAAGTGGCACAGCGGTATGTCTGCGGACTTACAACGCTAGAATCCGGGTTTCGATACCCGTGGTGGGCAGAGCACAGATTGCTCATTGTGTAGCTTTGTGCTTAAGGGGTGCATGTAATTGTTATTGTCATTTGTATCAAATGCCTTTCCTACAATAGATATAATTCTTTAATAATTATTTCTTTAACTTTTTCAAGATTGTTGTTTAGATGAAAAGCATATTTCCTGTTTTCAGTCACTTTATAAGCTGCTATACATGCTAACATTTCATTTACTACAAGCACTGTAATTACAGATCAAGTTAATAGACCAAATTTCAAAGTAGATTTTTGACATAATACACTAATACTTGGCTACTTCCTAGCATTTACATAGGAATTTTTTTAATTCTAAAATATAATGGTAAATCTTTTTAAACGTTCTCTCTTTTTTTATTTTATTTTATTTTAATTGCATGATCAGTGTTTTGACCCCAAGGTTGTATTTAATTACACGCGTCACCTGCATGGCGTGCCATCCAATTTCGCTTTTACAGATAGAGTAATTAGTTTTTATATGATCTTTGTTTGATAAGCAAATAAGGAAAAAACATATTCTGTTAATAATTTATCAGCGCCATAATTTGTTAAGAACAATTTTCCTAACATATTAGTTAAAAATTTGTTTGATTTTTCAACATTAACGAATCGTTGTAATCCATTTCATTACAATAAAAATAGAAGTTAATATCGACGTATTTGTGAATTAATAGTAATTATAAAATTACTTAAAAGTGTTATACGTTGCATTGAACACAACATTTCTATAAGTTTTCCATGCGCAATCAGAACTGTATATTTGTTACTTGAAATTATAAGGGTCTATGATTTTGAACACACAGACTAAAATTTACATTTTAATGATTTTTACAAGCTTTTTGTTTTATATCAGCTAGCTGTGTTCATGACTTTGTAAATTCATGGAAGTTAACAGCTATTTCCAGCCAAATTGAACTGTTATATGTTTCCGATTTGGAATATTGTAAAAACATTTCTAAGCATAAAAAATAATTATTCCTAGTTTAAATGAGAGTTGTCAAAACTGTTACCTTTATTAAATGAAAGTAATAATAGCATTAACAAGAAGACGAGCTTTTTGGATAATATATTATGGCATGGTGATGTGACGAAATTGATACTTTACGACAAGAAAAAAACTTTCGAAAAGGATAATTCAAAAGTCGAATTTCTAATACTTTCGTCGATAGTAACTTATGATATGGTGATGTGACGAAATTGATACTTTACGAGAAGAAAAAAGCTTTTGAAAAGGATAATTCAAAAGTCGAATTTCTATAACTTTCGTCGCTATTAACTTATGGCATGATGATGTGATAAAATTAGCATTTTGCAACATGAAAGAACTATCTAGAAGGATAATTCAGAAGTCGAATTTCTTAAACTTTTGTCTGATAATTAGAAACATGGATATCACGTGTGTGAAATATTTATATGGAATAACTCTGAATAATTGTGATATTTTAACTTCGTCTGTATGTGTCATTGCTTGGTTTAATTATATTGAACATTTACCCAACCTACAAAAATTAATATTTTCCTCTCATGTTCGTGTCTCATGACTTACAAAAACATTCACTGTTCTCAAAGATTTAAATAGCAATTTTACATCCATGTAATTTTGGTATCTGTATGTATTTTGTTCCCTAAGAGTGAATCTAAACTTTATTTTACATTACTTTACACGTTATTGTGTATTTATCTTGTCCTTATATGCATACGCTTTTGCCCAACAAAATCTCATGATAACTCTACTGTCATTTAGAATTAATTTGTTATCCAATACAACATAAGAGTTTCTTCAGCAAATTGCTAACATGTTAGCAGTACTTTACTACTTTCTATTTAGAAGATTCCTTCGGTGAAACAAATAACAGAAGCAGAAAGCATTTGTTGTTGTTGTCTTTTTTCAATATTATTTTCATTCATAACAGTAGTTTTTAATTAGTTAGGCTTAGTTGTACTGAGAGTAGTTATTATAAAGTATTTGAATCGTATTACTTATTATTTATTGATATCATGACTACATAATGGCATTTTTTCGTTTATTTTGTGTTATAAGATAAAACTACTATCATCACCAAGAACATCATCAACATCTTCAGTAAAACAAAGTTTCTGAACAATGTCTTGATGATACAGCTAAATTGATACAGTCAACTATTATTTCTAATTACGTACATTTGTTTTCACAGAGTTGCATTCTCTCTGCTTAATCCTTCTAAGGTTTAATACCACGTTCCTTGAAACTGCTTATAAAACTTATCTTTGTTTCCTTTTATCATAATATTTTAGTCATCGATTTTTACCACTTGCTCAGAATGTTTAGGCGTTTTAAATGCCTCCTTTAGAATAGGTTTTTCAAAACTAGGTCATTTTAGAAAAGCTACTTCTAAGAGACAGGATATAAGAATTTATAATTTGAACCCACGCACTATAATATCTTGTAGTATTTTCAGAGAAGTATGTCAAAATTTTCATCTTTCAAATATGAAAGTTCTGAAACTGTGTTATTGTATGGGCATAGCCCTATTGTAGAGCGCTGGATTTCGAAGCTAGCGACCCGACTTTATTTCCTTGATATACCACAAAATCTCCCCTCCCAACATTAAGCTGCGGGTGCATTATAAGCGTAATAGTCAATTCCTTAGTGTGAATGGCGGATGGTAAGGTGTTTTTGACTGGCTGCCTTCGCTCTGATCAGTAGTTCAAACTTAAGGTCGGTAGCGTAGACATAAATACAAATACAGTATACAGTTTTACTAAAATAAATTTAAGAGTTCAAAAATCATAACTTTTCCAATTAACTATTATAGTAAATACAACTACAATAGAAACCAATCAAGTACAAAAACAATTTACTAATTACTCAGTTTATTTTGTAAAATCTAGTCTTTCAGTGTTTAAAATAGTAGCATTATTCTCACCCAGTAGTACGTCAGTGAATTGATTAGTTTGTTGCATTAACTTAGTATACATATAAGTTTTTATAAAATGATATATTTTATTTTATAACTATTATCTTAAAAATAATAATGAATCTAACAACAAGCCCTCAAAATAATTACATTTTGGCAACGTTAACTTAATATGAGAGCATAGTTCTTATTTTTATTTCCTGTTAGTGTACTTTGAAAACCCATTACAAGCAACGCTTCAGGTATTATTACGTTGCTGTGTAGGAACATTTCTAGAAGTAAACAGAAGAAAACACTCTTCCCGCTGATCAGTTTACTAAAGAACATGTTATCTTTCTCTAAATAACACATTGTACAATCGACACAATTTGTGTACAAGTTTAATCCAGATGACTAATTAACGTCTTGGACTCTACGCTATACTATTTCATACAGTGTCTGCCTACAGTAGACTTTTCAAACGTTACTTAATCTATCACATCCATACCCATTATTTTCCTATTTGTTGTCAGTGCTCTTTTTGTTATCAATAAATGACAGGAAAAACATTTCCGGTAAATACGTTATTTGTGCCCATTTCATTTTTTTCTTAATATTCATATCTGAAAAGATTTTAAGGTGGAAGAAAATGACAAACTCTGCTATTTCTGTTAGTTATATCATGTTAGAAGTGAAAATCTTCTCTAGCAGTAGTTATTTAGTTAGTTAGCAATTCTATGTAATACATAGGAAAGACTACCTGATGTGTAACATTCCTTACATTCACATGTAATTATCATCGAATGTGTTATATACAATTTCAAACTATGATGAACAATTCGTATTATTTTGAACATACGTGTGTACGTTTTGTACTCTTAATCTCAAAAGCAAGCATATTTGCCTTCATACATCATACTCGCACCCTCGAAAACTAAATTAAGAGAGCGTAGAAACTTATAAACATAATGATTTTCGTGATGAAAACTTACAATGTACTAAGATGAGGATAAAAAAGTAATGAAAACAGTTTCTTACATTTTAAGAGGAAAACTGATCTAACTTACAGAAAGAAATCTGTGTAAAATTAAGTTGTTTCGAATAAAGACCATGTAGTTGAATTACGTAGGGAGTTAGCATGTTTTTGAATTGCATAACACAAACTATTACGGCGATTTACTAATATTGAAACCGAAAACTTGTGTTCGTAACAAAGTTAACACTAATTTCTTAAAATTTGAATTAAAACTAAATTTAAAGCTTCTTTTACCTGGAAAGTTGAAATGTATCTAAACAAATAGATAATTTTAGAACAAAATATCTATATCTGCGCCATCTTACTTCAGTTAATAACACAAGTTTCATCACATAATAAGCCACTGTCAAAAGCGACATACACGTTCTTCTAAAGTCGGAATCAAACTCAAGAAATTCTACACGACTTGAGATTTCAGAAAATCAATATTTTATTTCCAATACAATTGCACTCACTCACAATGACAATTGCATAATTATTTTCGTAAAGAAAGGAACGTGTTATTTTCCTCGTGATTTTTCAGATGTTCTAATATTGCTACGAAGGAAAAATTCATCCCTCTTCCGTCGCTTCTTATCCTACTGTATATTCAGGGTATTCGTATAATGCTCTAAAAAAATGCAATAATCAAACAGATATCAGTCGCGTTTTATTCACATGATATGAACTGTCATTTCGTTAGTAGTTAGACATTAATCAAATACACGAGGGAAATATCCCACTTCTAGTTATATATTATTAATATTTAGAAAAAGTCAAAAATATGCAAATACTGAGAACATTAACACCACATTTCATCTGGAAATATAATATGTTAAATAAATAACGCTAAGATAGAGCAAAAATATAAAGACTTAATTTCACAAAATGAGGTCTCTTGACATTTTCAAATGCAAATTAATTGAAATAAATTCAAACAAAGATAATTAACACATAATGGTGGGGTTGTGTATTAATATCTGGTTTAGAAGCGAAAATCTGCGTAACTATTCAATACTGAACTCACTAGTGGTAACCACCGTATCCATAGCCACCACGACCACCATAACCGCCACCATGACCTCCATAACCGCCACCGTAACCTCCATAGCCTCCACCATGACCTCCATAACCGCCACCGTAACCTCCATAGCCTCCACCATGACCACCATAGCCGCCATGTCCACCATAACCACCGTAACCTCCGTAAGCTACTGCTACCATGGCAGCAAAAACAATGAGAAGAAATATCTGCAGAGAAGAAAATCAGATGACATTTAATTAGATAAACAGCCTTTTTGCTGGTTACAAAGGAGAGAGAGAAAAGACGGGCGTGTCATTAAAAACGAACAAGTCTTAATCAACACAAAATAGTAGAGCTTTACGATCTGTCATCATAATGGTAAGATTCAATATTTCATCGTTATTCAATTATCTCTAAACTATTATGTTTGTTTTTTTATTGAATAAAAAATCTAAAGTCATTGCATCATAGATAACATAATAACGCTAGTAATTTTTAAGCTTGTCCTTGTAATAATAAATTAATAAAATTCACAGTGGAAACGGAGTTACGAATAATGAATATTTTATTAATTTTTGACTTATAAGTTATTCTATATTTTTTTGTGGATTTGACTTGAGGTCTGAAAGTCTGTGAAAATAAAAGCTTACCCAGGTCTTCATAATGAGCAGATCTTTCAGTAGCTACTTTTCGAATTCAGATTGGTTTGACTCACAGAAGAACCTTTTATACCAAATTAAACGGGGAGAAAATAGGCCATAGAATCAGGGTCCCGGAACTACCACCTGAAGAACCTCCGTTAAAACCACATTTAAACTGTGCAGCTGAAAATATAGAATGAAACAGCCTGTTACTGAAAACTCATCGATTACTAGCAGAGCATGAAAAGACGTTGTTCATGTGCCTTTTGTATTACTTTTTATTTTTTCTGAGCAAACATTATATTTATAATCGCATTTTTCTTTTTCGGCTATAGCTACTCCACAGAGAAACTGCAGAAAGATTTGGTTTACAGTGTTAATGTACGTACCTGCTTGATGAATTCTGTTACTTATGTCAATAGTTTACAAAAGGATGAGAATACGATAAAAGATATAATGTGAAAAGATTATTAAATTAACCAGTTCAATAAGGCACATACCTGAAGTTACGAAAAGTAATCATTTTTAAGGTTTCAGAATGTGATATATATATATATATATATGCATATTTTTTGTCAGTTTTATTATATATCTGCTACATCCACACAGCAGCAGACTTGTTTTATTGTATATCTTCTATATCCACACAGCAGCAGACTTGTTTTATTGTATATCTGCTATATCCACACAGCAGCAGATCTATTTTATTGTATATCTGCTAGATCTACACAGCAGCAGATCTGTTTTATTGTATATCCACACAGCAGCAGACTTGTTTTATTGTATATCTGCTATATCCACACAGCAGCAGACTTGTTTTATTGTATATCTGCTATATCCACACAGCAGCAGACTTGTTTTATTGTATATCTGCTATATCCATAAAGCAGCAGATTTACTTTATTGTATATCTGCTATATCCACACAGCAGCAGATCTGTTTTATTCTATATCTTCTAGATCTACACAACAGCAGACTTGTTTTGTTGTATATCTGCTATATCCACACAGCAGCAGACTTGTTTTATTGTATATCTGCTACATCCACACAGCAGCAGACTTGTTTTACTGTATATTTGCTATATCCACACAGCAGCAGATCTGTTTTATTCTATATCCACACAGCAGCAGACTTGTTTTGTTGTATATTTGCTATATCCACACAGCAGCAGACTTGTTTTATTGTATATCTACTATATCCACACAGCAGCAGACTTGTTTTGTTGTATATTTGCTATATCCACACAGCAGACTTGTTTTATTGTATGTCTGCTATATCCAAACAACAGCAGACTTGTTTTGTTGTATATCTACTATATCCACACAGCAACAGACTTGTTTTGTTGTATATTTGCTATATCCACACAGCAGCAGACTTGTTTTATTGTATATCTACTATATCCACACAGCAGCAGACTTGTTTTGTTGTATATTTT